CTCTCTCTCTCTCTCTCTCTCTCTCTCTCTCTCTCTCTCTCTCTCTACGCGCGCTCTCTCTCTCTCTCTCTCTATAGCGCGCACGCTCTATCTCTCTCTCTCTCTCTCTCTAGTGCGAGCGCTCTCTCTTTCTCTCTTCCTTACTTTATATATCTTATATTATATTGTATTACTTATATTATCTCGCTTCCCCTGTCTCCCTTCCTTCCTTCCCCTCTGTCTCTCACGAGCGCGCGCGTTCTCCAGCTCTCTGGACTCCGTGCCAAGCGATAGCTTTAGGAGTCCCAACACGGGCCTGTGCCTTCCCAACGGCAGAGCGGGGCTGCTCTTCACCGATGACGTGTAGTCGTGGTGCGGATGCTTCGTGTTAAATATCATATGTTATACACACGCATAGTAGCTGTATCGTGGATCGTGGACGCGAAAAAATTCTGGCAAAAAGACGGACAGACATCTAGCGTTAATCTACTGTACTATTATTGCGACACATGTACACACACACACACATGCGCGAACATTAGTTCTGTGATGTTTTGTAGAAATTATTCAATTAAAATACAGATTATCGATCATTTCCCCACGGGCGTAAACTAGGGCAGCGAGAGAGGATGCTCAGATAAACATAGTCCTGAGACGGAAGACTGCGCATCTGTATTTGTCCTGCCTGGAATCTTAGTGGCGGGGTTACCGCCGCGATCATTATATTTTATTATATTATAATATATTATATTTTATTGCACGCACAAACTTTTCCACTGCTAAGTAATGAAGGTAATGGTATATGCGCATATTTGACATACACATTGAGGATTACTGTCAAATACAATGATAAACGTTGGTGTTTGTATTTCATACGAATCCAGCTACGACCACTGCGCATGCGTAGCGAGTATCAGCACACATCAATGCCAAGTTAATACTAAATAATCGTGATGCGTAGGGAAAACAAACAAACCCAAAGTCGTTGTTATTATTCTCACAGCAGGTGTATATTTCACATTTCCAGCATATTTACATTATCGAACACGATGCGTTATTAACGGTCATCGATAAACGACAGACGCAAACAAACAAACAAACAAACAAACAAACACACACAGACAAACAAACAAACACACACAGAGAGAGACACACAGATACAGACAGTCATACAGACACATACAAACACACGCAAGCACACGCACGCAAGCATGCACGCACGCACGAACGCACGAAAACACACACACGCACGCACGCACGCACGCACGCACGCACACGCACGCACGCACGCACGCACACACACACACACATTAATAAGCATTGTGCAGAGTGCACGTATTCCAGCAAGAATGCGACCAACCGAACTCAGTAAGCGCTGCATTGCGATGTATTAGAATTCGTGATAGTAATTAACATTTACATACTTGTTCCGGATTAATATTAATAACGCGCCATATAATATTTATCGGTATTATATATATATATATATATAATAGTGGTATTTTTAATACACATTTCTATTCCATTTCTTAAAACAAGCGTTTTGTTGATTCCACATTTTATGTTGAACAAAAACAATATATATATATATATATATATATATTATTATATAACGGCTACTTATAAGTAGCTAGCAAGTGTCTTTGTCTTTCCTATGTCGCTTTCTTCCTTATATCTTCTTGAGCTTTGTAGTATTTTTTAATCCACCCCTCATCTACGTTTTGGCCTTACTAGTGCTAACAAAAACACTAACCAATGGCGTGCCACTTATATTATATAATATATAGATATAATATATATAGAAGTAAAATATATAGTATAATAAATATATAATATATATATATATATAAGTATTAGAGGTTTATCAACAATAAATTGATTCATTTGATTATTATCGTCATCTGGCCCCGGTAGTATGGTTTATAGCTAATGTGTACTTTAAGTGGTATCGGTACTGGTAAGTTAATAAATTCGCCTTCTCAGCGATCGTTGGGGGACATCAAACCTGCGGGTTCATTCATGCCGACATTCAAAATTTGCTATCAATGCAAATAGGTAGGTACATAAAGTATACCATGCACATACATTTAGCCATCCCCTCTTCAAATACAGAAGGAGGAAGTATAAGAACAGGATAAAAAAGTGAGTGACCTGTTTCATTAGCGTAGTAAAGCGTTCCCAAAAGACCGGCGGGGGAGAGAGAACAGTATTAACACGCCAACGGTTCAAATAATTATCTACAGAACAAGTTACGGCCAGACATCATTCTGTTTAACGAATCAGTCTCATCTCATAATGCATCTCTATGCTGCACACAGCACGTAGGCATTAAGTTTTGCCACAATATGACAGGTCCGTAATGTTTTAACCAATAACTGTCAAAAACACTAAAGCCATAACACCACAAAGCAGTTCTCGTTTACACGGTACTTTTAAAGAATCGCAGTTGAGCCGTCATCATATGCGACTATCAGCGCAGAACAATTCAACACGAGCCAAGCACCCGGATAATACTCGTACAACATCCCGCCAAAACAATAGCATTAATATAACGATATTCCCAGAATCAAATTATCCGATGTATAATCGCAATCGTCCCATCCAGATGTCATCTAGATGTCATAGAAATTTGATCCAGAACACTCACCTAGACAATATATGCGTACAAATCCGCCAAGTGCACATTATCATTTGGACAAGGAGGCAATATAACCGCCAGGAAAATATCAACGACCAAAAACACAACAAACTATATCCTCGTAACGACAATATCTACCCCAACAAGACGGCACTGCCTTGTGGTCAAAACAACGATTCCGCGAAGCAATACGATTTTTTACGGGTGGGCTAAGTACAAAATGTTACATAAAAAGAACAATAAATATAGTTTTACAACCCATTTGGCGGTTTGTCTATTTTACTTCGAATCGCGGGTCCCCGTTCTTCTATCACTGGTCTGTAAAAATGCGCATGCAAGCAAGTGGCGACGCAACGACTACAGGCCAAAGACTGTATAATGAATGCTAGTCCTAATCTTTCCACGTCATCTATGCAGCTAATCGTTATAAGCCTCTTTGACTACAACCTAACACCGTTGTAGATACCCGCGCGCAGTACGTGTGAATGGGATAACGTTTAGTGACTTAATTCGTCCATTCAGTTCTGTTTACTCGCAACTCATCCTCGTCATACAGTTTTAGCACGCTGGCTCATCCAGGCACGGTGCGCAGTTCAGTTATCCAGTCGCTCATGAGCTCATGAACGGGTGAGGTTTAGCTTAAGAGAAACAAAGCTGTTTGTTCGGCTGGTCGGATATGTAGCGGCGAATACTTTTTTTTTATCGAGACATCGATGGACTTGCAGCGGACGCCCACTAAGCGTGAATGTTGCGACCAATCATAAAGTTCTTCACGTTATAGTCAGCACAACAATCATGCACGCGTGCAAAGTCATGAAGCTGTTTCTGGGATTTACATGCATGATCCGAGGAGTATTGGCGGCCGCGCAGCGGAGGAAAAAAATTCCAAAACAGACAATAGTCATGAAATAGAAAGCAATCTGGGTGAATTGCCAGAATTTATACTAAGCAACGACTAAGTATACTTACGCTTATATACGAGTGAGGTCTTAACAGCTAAAATAAAAAAATGTTTAGCGTAGCTGTTCGCCTTCCCAGGCCGGCAAGAGATGTGCCAACTCAATCTGTGTAACGATAGTAAATTGTTTACTAGTTTACTTTCCATTATTATGATCTATAAAACCAGTGAAAAGCTTGAGCGACAAATCGTGATGAACCGTGTCGCACGGTGTCAGAACGGACTGATGGAGACCGTGATTAGTTTATTAATATTTTATCGAAAGCCTCGCAGCGTCTTCGAAACGCACAGTGACAAACCAACTCAAGCCCCGTCTAGCGAGTTGGGCGGGCCACCCTAATCGGCCTCAAATACCTGGGGAATATAGCGAGCAGAGACCGCTGTGCCGTGATCCAAATCGTGTGTAGTCCACCGCGTGTAAGTACCGGAACAACCAGAAGCACCCGCTGTATAGTGCACTCCATTGACCGAGCAACCAGGAACCTTAAACCTTACCTAAACTTCCTTAACCCCGATATCTTTTGTCCCGGCGGAACACGTACCTTCAGGTTCGTGCGGCTGCTGGGCAGGACCGGTAGATCATAGTACGCAAGCTCGCATCGTATAGGTCATATAAGCTCGCAGCCAATCCATGATGAGTTTAAAAGGGCCAGCGCGCAGTTGATGGCCGGAGGTGCGAAGACACGAAGTTTAACAGCCGACCACCCAGCGTCGGGCGGAGCTCACCAAAAGTAGAACAAAACTGTAGAAGTGTGGAAAAGAGACGAGCGTGATCCGTCACAGTGGATCCGCACGTGGCGGATACGTCCAAGTGATTGACGTCAGTGGTGGATCGGGTTCGCTACATGTTTACAGCAGGCGGGCGCTGTAGTAGCGTCACCGACACAGCCTCAGCCGGACGGACGGAGGTCACCTTGCCTAGAGTACCTACAGTCGACTCCGCACCGTGCATCTGGTAAGAGCGGGAGGCGCACAGACACCAGTGTTTAGCGTTCGCTTAGATGCTTTTCTCAGCACGAAAGCAATCACGTCTTAGACGTTTTACGAGTTATACACCGTATAGGACCCTTTCTAACCAAGCAAAGCTTATTTTCATCGGCGCAGCGAATTCGCAGTAAGGGAAGATATTAGGGATGATGCGTTGTCGTTGTTGAATCATTAAGAGGAGGAGGGATAACGAACTTTTCATAATAATAAATAACGATTAAATGATAAAAATTACGAGTAGTTAGTTAAAGAAGCGATTATTATTAATTAGTAGACAGGTATGGGATCAACGATACGCGGTTCAAGATCAATCGTGATAAAGGTTTATGTAGAGTGAGTGATTAAAATTGTGACGGTGACGGGGTGTGGAAGACCGTGTGGTGACCAGCTATTGTGACGGTCGTGTGGGTGTGGTGTGTGGTTGTGCTGTGTGGTGTGGTGGTGTTGACCTCTATGTGTGACGGGTGTGTTGTGTGTGTGTGTTGTGTACCTACCTCTATGGTGTGACGGTGGGAGTGGTGGGGTGGGTGTTACCGTCCTATGTGTGACGGGTGTGTGGTGTGTGTGTGTGTGTGTGAAGCGGTGTGTTGTGTGTGTTTACTCTATTGGGTGACAGGGTGTGGGTGTGTGGGTGGTGTGTGTTACTCTATGTGTGACGGGTGTTGTGGTGTGTGGTGTGTTTGTGTTGTGTTGGGTGTGGTTGGTGTGTTACCGTCTATCTGTACGTGGTGTGTGTATTACCTAGGGACGGGTGTGTTGTGGTTACCGCTATGTGACGTGTGTGTGTGATGTATTCCC